GGGATTGCCTTGTCATCAGCAGCGCATTGCTGGGAAATCTCATCTATAATCTCTGGAGATGTCAGGGAAAGGCATTTTCCTCCCCCTAGTCACATGTCTAGTCACATGTGCCAGCTTTTCAGAAAGTAAAGGGCGAGCTTGCAATCTGCCCTTAGTAAACATGGCCACTGACAGAAGACTGGGGAAGAAAAGAGAAATAAGGTGTGCAAAGAATACGAAACCTGCAATTATCTAGAAGTATGTGTTTGTAGATTGTTATTACTAAACCTTTCTAAAGGTGTGTTTGTTGTTATTTTAAAGATATGGGTACAGGTCCACTTTTTTTTTTCCAGTCTGCAGAAGAGGAGAAAAAAAAAGTGTGAGATCCCCCCCTAATTCATACCAGACCCTTTAGGTCTGGTAGGAATGTTAGGAGAGACCCTCCCCCAGTTACGCGACCCCCGGCGATCCTGGCTTCCCGACTTAGCCCACTTCTGCCCGAATGGATTCATCCGGATCAGGTGGGCTTTGTCCCGGGGAGGGAGGCCAGGGACAGCGCCTTCAAATCTGTGTCCCTTATTCACTTAGCTCATACACAGAATTCCCCAGTCCTACTCTTGTCTACAGACGCCGAAAAAGCATTTGACAGAGTGGACTGGGGATTCATGTTCTCCACGCTGACCTCCCTGGGCATTGGTCCCCGGATGTTAGCGTGGATAACCGCATTGTACTCCTTCCCAACCGCCAGAGTCAAAGTGAACGGCATATTGTCCCCCTCCTTTTCGCTGCACAATGGCACACGCCAGGGCTGCCCTCTCTCGCCGCTGTTGTTTGTTCTCTCCCTTGAACCCTTTTTATCCACTATACGTAATAATCCTAACATCCATGGCATACCCTCTCCAACCATGGAGTACAAAACTGCAGCATATGCGGACGACATCCTTTTTTATGTTCGTGACCCTCGTATCTCACTTCCGCATATACTGTCTGAATTGCGTACTTATGGGGAACTATCCAATTTCAAGATCAATATGGGCAAGTCAGAGATTTTGAACATAACG